AAGAACTATGGATGGAAGTTCGCAACATTGTACAAGAGGTAGCAACTAAAACCATCCCAAAGAAAAAGAAATGCAAGAAAGCAAAATGGCTGTCTGAGGAAGCTTTGCAAATAGCTGAGGAAAGAAGGGAAGCGAAAGGCAAAGGAGAAAGAGAAAGATACACCCAATTGAATGCAGAATTCCAGAGAATAGCTAGAAGAGATAAGAATGCCTTCTTAAATGAACAGTGCAAAGAAATAGAAGAAAACAACAGAATAGGGAGGACCAGAGATCTCTTCAAGAAAATTGGAGATATGAAGGGAACGTTTCATGCAAAGATGGGCATGATAAAGGACCAAAATGGCAGAGACCTAACAGAGGCAGAAGAGATTAAGAAGAGATGGCAAAACTACACAGAAGAACTATACAAGAATGAGCTTAACATCCCAGATAACCACAATGAGATGGTCACTGACCTCGAACCAGACATCCTAGAATGTGAAGTGAAATGGGCCTTAGAAAATCTGAGCAACAACAAAGCTAGTGGAGGTGACAGTATTCCAGCTGAGCTATTCAAAATCTTAAAAGACGATGCAGTAAAAGTGCTACACTCAATTTGCCAGCAAATCTGGAAAACTCAACAGTGGCCACAGGATTGGAAAAGGTCAGTTTACATTCCAATTCCAAAGAAAGGCAATGCCAAAGAATGTTCAAACTATCGCACCATTGCACTCATTTCACATGCTAGTAAAGTTATGCTTAAAATCCTACAAGCTAGACTCCAGCAGTATGTGGATCGAGAACTACCAGAAGTACAGGCAGGATTTTGAAGAGGCAGAGGAACTAGAGATCAAATTGCCAACATACGCTGGATCATGGAGAAAGCTAGGGAGTTCCAGAAAAACATCTACTTCTGCTTCATTGACTATGCAAAAGCCTTTGATTGTGTGGATCACAACAAATTGTGGCAAGTTCTTAAAGAGATGGGAGTACCAGACCATCTCATTTGTCTCCTGAGAAACCTATATGCGGGTCAAGAAGCAACAGTGAGAACCGAACACGGAACCACTGATTGGTTCAAAATTGGAAAAGGAGTCCGGCAAGGCTGTATACTGTCGCCCTGCCTATTTAACTTATATGCAGAGCACATCATGAGAAAGGCAGGGCTAGATGAATCAAAAGTTGGAATTAAGATTGCCGGGAGAAATATCAACAACCTAAGATATGCAGATGATACCACTCTAATGGCAGAAAGTGAAGAGGAACTAAAGAGCCTCTTGATGCGGGTGAAGAAGGAGAGTGCAAAAGTTGGCTTGAAACTCAACATTAAGAAAACCAAAATCATGGCATCCGGCCCTCTCAATTCCTGGCAAATAGATGGGGAAGAAATGGAGGTAGTGACAGATTTTATTTTTCTGGGCTCCAAGATCACCTCAGATGGGGACTGCAGCCAAGAAATTAAAAGACGCTTGCTCCTGGGGAGGAATAGAACAATGTCCACCAGGCATGATAATAAATACCCGTTTTTTGCTAACATTTCCAACATGTATCCGATAAATCTGAAACCAAGAAGGGAGGCTACGGATGAAGACATACACCTATAGTTTCCATCTTGAGATTGATTTTGAACTCCTGGCTAAAATAGTTGGTATTTTGGAAGTTTTTTACTTCTTTGCCATAGTGATGATGAAAAATTCTGAAACTCTCAAAAAGTTACACATTGGGGTAATTTATTTATGCCAGTTGTTTCCCGACTAATTTCCCTGATGATACAACCAGGTTTTTATAACCAAGGTAGAACAGTATACTTGAAAAATAAGAGTTTATGTGCAATAATAAATGTTTATAAAAATTGGTAACTTATGGTAAGGAAGAGATAGAGTAACAAGTGGACTATATACTGAGTTTCACAAAATTTAATTTCTATGAGTTTAAGAGAGTGTTGCAATTTGTTAAACACTGCTTGCTATCTAATTTTGAGAAATCATCAATTATTTCACGAAGAAGCAACATCAAAACTCAGATTTGTTGGAAATTTGATATGAGTAACCTACATTAGGCTGAAAAGAAGTCTGGGAGCCAGAGTCAGGTAAGCAATTAAATGATACATTTTGACCATTAAACCACCACTCTTCTGTCTTTGGGGAGGGGGATGATAAAGTTTCAAAAGTTGGGATGGAGGTTTTTAATTGTTATGTCCCCAAAGGTCATGTCTTTTAGAGTTTGGGTGGAGTATGTAGATTTTAGAGGTCTTTGTCTTCCTAATCTCAAAGCTTCCAGCTTCCTGGCCCCAACCTTCCTGAATGAATTATTGAATTTGCATTTCTAAAAGCTGGCCTCTGCCTAGTTTCTGCTTGGGCTATTAAGAAAACTGGGCTTGCTTTTCTGCCTTTAAGATCTTCTCCATTATTCCTTTGGATAAATATATTCTGCCTTTTTAATATTTCCCAAAATATTTCTTTCTCTGGATTCTTCCTACATAATAAAACAATAGCAATAGCCAAGCAAAGAATTGAATTCTTACTAAGTTTAGGCTTGCCATATATATTTGATGGAAGGAATAAAATGTTACAATGTAAGAAACATCCTTTATTTATTTTTATTAGCAAATTTAATAATTGCCCACCAATAGAAATGTTTGGATTATCTCTGATTTGAAAAATGCTTTAATAAGGCCTGGTCAATAGCTCTCTGACAAAATTCACCTGCCCTAAAACAAAGAGGGAAATCATTGCACCAGGGAAATCTGTGTGTATTAGAATTGGCAGAATTACCGTATATCTGTTTTATAAATGATAAAGTGAGGACCCATCAGGATGTACAGAAAATTTAAAGGGCTTGTTAAAGGATTATTTAAAATAGAAATTATTTGGAAAATGCTATTTAAGTAAATAAGTAATACTGTCATAATGTTTATTAGGTTATTTTTTATTAAAAGTATTGCCCTTCTATAGATAGTAAATCTTGGTGATCGAGATAAAGCTACCCATTATTTTCTATGCCTTAACAGTCTGACATACCAAAAGACAAGGATTAACACCAGACAAAGAATCAAGCAGAAAACAATACCTTAATGAGGAAACTGCCAAGAAGAAATTCACATTTCCAACAACACTGGCAGGACAAGCAACTGTATAAACAGGGAGCAAACCTCACATTCACTAGCATTGATGATGGTACCTAGAAGAGTAATGAAATATCTGCAAACAAACATGCAAGCTCAGAGACCACCAAGGAGTCCTTAACAATCTTAGCAAAAAAGGTTGTAACTTAGCAACTGCCTCGTTTAGCAGTGAAACTTCTGGTTCCAGTTGTGGTCATAAGTCACAAGGAAAAGCTGAGAGCAGAAAAAATATGAGCAGAGCTATTTAATTAGTTTGCTCATTTTGAATGAATAAATTAATAGGTGCGATACGTTCCATTGTTGCTTTAAGCAGGATCTTCCAAATTAATATGTTATAACACAACTAAGACTCAGGGTGAGATAGCTGTTTGATTACCAGTTTGATCCTTTAATTCTTTTTCAAAACCTTGCCCTATCTTGTTTGTACCTTTTCACACTATCTCTGAAAAATCAAAAATTGAAAAGGACGTAGAAATGAAAGATTAGCGTAGCAAGAAATTAATGAAAGGAGATAGGTTATCGGCGTAGAAATTGGCATAAACTGTGAACTGAAATAAAAAAGTTGCACTCAACTTTTCTTGAATTGATAAAGGCCATTTGCACGCGGAAAGAACTCTTTGCAGAGTGCCCGGATAGCTCAGTCGGTAGAGCATCAGACTTTTAATCTGAGGGTCCAGGGTTCAAGTCCCTGTTCGGGCGAAAATGATTTTTAATAGAAAATCGCATCCAAAAATCTTGCACGAAGTGACGTCTTTTCCAAGAATAAATTGAAAAAGAATGAATATATATAATTCCGCTGTCTTTTTAAAAAACTTGAGAAATTAGGAACTTTAGTTTTAAATCAATCTATATACCGAGCAAAATCGGCGACTTTAAATACATGAAGAAGAAACTAAGGGGAAATTGGGAAAGAACGTTCGGAATTTTTCGGAAAAAAAACAAAACAAAAAACAATTCGCCCGAACAGGGACTTGAACCCTGGACCCTCAGATTAAAAGTCTGATGCTCTACCGACTGAGCTATCCGGGCTCCATGCTGAGTAACTATGCAACGATGCTACATAAAAAAAAGGATTGTCACGCAGCTCGTTCACTTATTTACAAGGGCCAATTGCAGATTTGCAACTTCGATGTTTCCCCAAAGCTACTATTCCAGCCGTAATTTTGGAACAAGAGATTGTTTTTACACCGCTACGGTTTCCCTTATATTCGGCATGGATTATAAATGTTGTATTAAATATAAATGCGTAGATACATTTGTTTATATTAAATATAAATGTATCACTTCTGGGGCTACTAAAGCACACTTCGCTGGTGAGAAACCAAGAGATTTGCATGAACAACGTTGCAAATGCAGAGAAAAGAATCATTTTACAAGAAAAAAAAATATCCTTTCGTTAGATGCCAATATATACATATTCAGCTCTTTCTAAAGCTTGGAAACGTTACCGACAACCTGCATGCCTAGGGAAGAGTATGATAACCATTTACCGTTCGAATAAATGCAAGGTAGTCTACTACAATATTTATAAGGTGGGTGGTACTGACTAGCCCAATACGCACACAAACACAAGACAAGCCCTTGATGTAGGTTTCAGTCTTCCACCCAGCCACCCTAAGAAAATATTCACACACACACGCGCGCGCGCTCTTTATTGTGATGAAGGAAAGGAAAACTTCGGAGAGCTTTGTTCAAGGCTGTACTTCTCCGTTCTCAGCCCAGCACAGAAATATGTTTTTTAAGCAAGGGGTGAACCCGAAAGCCTAGCATTCTCGGCTCTCCTGTTTCTGCAGCTGACGTGTCCTTTCAAAGAGGAAGGATTTCCGCCGCAACGCTTGGCTTCCCAGGGAGTTTCTCTTACTCGTTGGCGCCTCTACTGCGCAGAGCGGATGGAAAAGACGATGCTCTCATAAGTTCAACAATTCCAGGAAGTTTGAGGGGGCCTTCCCTTAGCGGCGCCTCCGCTCTCTATGATCTGGACGGAAGAACGTGGGGCTCCATGTTGACTCGCAGGCGAAAAACGCGGCCTGCCTTCTTTCCCCTCCCAAAGTAAAATGGAGGCGAGGAGGTCGTCGTAAAGCTCCAGTCCTCCTCCGAAAGAATTGGGGGAGGGAGAGGGACAGCTTTGAGGAGCTTTACCGTGAGTTCATCTTGAATTTTTTGCAGCCGCTTAAGACTGCACCGAAACTGGTGAAGTAAGAGTGCAGGGTTTCTAGGGGAGTTGTTTGAAAGTGGCAAGAGTGAAGAATTAGACCGGTGTGCAAGAGAAGGAAACGGGGTCGGGGAGAGAGAGTGCATTATTTTTTGTTGTCCACTTCCCAACTTAAGGATTGATTAAAGGTCAATGAGGTCTGTGTTGTGAATATAATATCAGGTATAATATCAGTGATAGATCTGGCATATACTAATTGAATGAGAAGGCTCAGAAATACTCCAGGCTGACCTCATTTTATATCCTTATCTTGTTCTCCCAAGTACCCGAAGGGCCTATAACTACCTCTTCTAGTGTCTTGTAATTTTTCTGCAAGTCAGGTAGCACAGTAAGATTATTTAATGCTTCAGACTAGATTTCAGAAAGTGATATCAATGCAGGTGGGAATGCAGAGAAAAAGCAAGTATATAAGCTGCTTTAAAGCAGTGTTTGCCAAAGTTGGCCACTTTAAAATGTGTGGACTTCAACTCCCAGAATTCCCCAGCCACCACTGGTGCCAAGTTTGGCCAAGCTTTAAAGTGCAGTGGTTAGAATGCAGTATTGCAGACTAACTCTTCCTACAGCTAGGAGTTTGATCCTGATGTGCTCAGGGTTGAATTAGAATGAGGACCCAGATTGTTGTGGACAGTATGCTGACATTGTAAACCATTCAGAGACAACTTTTAGTCTCAGTTTGAAACAGTTGATTAAAATAAGCCAAGAAAGGGCTCCATTACTGTATGTCTCCTGTTCTGCTTATCCCATCATATTTGATGGAATTGGCATGGGTGGGGTTCCTTCCATCAGGTGGTGTCATCTAATAAGATCCAGGAATTGTGCTTTTGCTATTGTAGCACCTACCTTGTAGTATAGCTTGCCCTCCCAAGATTTGAAGGACCCTGCCCCTATTGGTCTTTAAGAAGGTTCTCAAGAAGGCCAATATTTTTAGTTAGCCTAATGGTTTATTTTGATGATTGAACAATTGTCAATATAGCTTACAAGAGTAAGTCCAATATTTTATAAAATTTATAAGTTTAAAAAATTGAAAAAAAATATCCATTATCTTTCTGGGTAATAACTGCAAATAAATATTCAACATAAGCATAGATCTTTTGCATTTTTTTTTCTTTCAAAACCAATTGTTTTATTTTTCACATTATTCTTTAAATGAGAATATTATTGAACAACTGGAAAGTGGTGTAGTAGTGCTGTAATACATGAAAATCATTTCTCCAACTCATATGAATATGTGGAATAATTAAAAATGAACTTATTTAAAATCCCAATGGTACCACAATATTGAATATCTGTTACTCTAGGTGTTGCTATGTATGAACAAAAATGTAGTTTATGTCCATTGTTAGCATAAAGACATTTCAAAAAGTGAAACTGGAAAGAGACAACTTAATTTATTGTAATTAGTATCTATTCTCAGTAGGTGGCAGTATTTAGCTGACCTTATCTCTGATCAGAAATTAAACATGGTGGTGACTGATTAGTACTTCAATGGAGACTGGAGGTCACAGACTCCTGGTTTCTGGTTTAGTACCTTAGCTTAACATAGTCCAGAGGAGAGCTTTCACTAGGTTCTCACTTTGCATTAAGATGCAGTGTAACTTACTACAGATTTACTGTGAAGTGTGAGCTAGGTCACTGTGAGTAATTGAGATTGAAGGGTATCACTGGCAAGACTCCTACTTGGTATTTTTTCCACATGTTAGATTAGTAACTGAAAAATCAAATGGTATCTCTTTTGACTAGGAACAAGTTAGTTAGTAAACTTATCACATTAGAAATTTTATCTTGGGAATGCTTCACTGAAGAAGTTTCCTTTGGTAAAAGTAAGTTTATTTTAATGTCTGCTAATTTTCATATATATTTTCATTTCTGTTTCTTTTGATTCTGTATGAAGGAAATATGCCACAGTCTGTTGCTTGCCAACTGTCATTTATGCATTATTACTACCTAATTTTAAATTCATTGTCTATTTTCATCCATGGTATTAATATATATCCAAAACTTGTATGAGTTGACTGCATAATATACTGTTTAATGTTAGTTCTGCTCCTGGTTGGATGGCTGTTTTCAGAAGGAGATGTTGGGGTTCATACTCTTTACTAGATATGCTTTAGGAATATGTGGACTTCTTTCCTTTTACTTATTTTGCTTAATATCCATGTGGGAGAAATCATATATAGATTTGGTCCACGATGTCATCAATATGTTGTATTACAGTTGCCATGCTGGCATACAAATTTGTGTCTCATTATCATAAGATATGGATTACCCTGTGATAATCAAGATTGGACAATATGTGCCTATTAATATAAGGAAAGTAATACACTTAGTTTAGATATAATGTAGAATTATCCATGATTGTTCATTTAGCCTTTTCTAGATGATTGGTCGTCTAAAGCAGGGGTCCCCAACCCCCGATCCGTGGACTAGCACTGGGCCACAGCATGGCAGCGACTGTTCCACACAAACAAGCAAAGCTCCATGGGATGCAGACAACATGTGAAACCATGCCCCCTCTGGTCCATGGAAAAACTTCTCTCCACGGAATGGGTCCCCGAGGCCATTGATCTAGAGGGGTTAGCTAGAGGGCGTTTTTTTTTTTTTTTTGCCCTCTCACATGGTTCCTACTGATTCAGTAATGTTTTTAGAGACCAGATGAGTTTTTTAATGTTTAAAAATGTCTTTGTTGGCTTTGACAAAGTTTGTTATTGCTCCAGTATTGAGCATATTAACACTTTATCAGCTGTGCTAGATTGCAATTCATCTCTAGACACAATTTTAAATTTTAATTGTTAAAGCAATAAAGAGCTAGGGATCACACTCTTAGAAATTGTGTCTTTTCTAGTATGTATTCAGACCCAAGTTCTTTCAAGAGAATATAATGATACTTTTACTGAATATAAATAATACTATAGTTAAGTTACAAGGGAAACTGTTCTTCGAAATAACATTCCAAAATGACATTGTTCCTATTGTTGCATTTTGTTCTTGGGAATACATTATTGCTCGCTTAAGCCCTTTAAAACTGAAAATTCTGAACTCATAAAGTTCAAATTAGTTGTTTTGGTAACAGTTCTAAAGTTTGGCGCCTGTTTGGTTTTGCTTTCCAGTCCCATGCCAGTGTCCTTGGCTCGTTCAATCCGTTGTCTCTGGTTGGCGCGTTTAGTTCCTGTCCTCCCCCTCCCTGCATCCCCCCTTCCCTCCTCATACTTTATGGCAGGCTGCTTTGTAACCTGGGCTTCCCTGTTTTTAGTTTAGTTTTGTTTTTAATGTTGAGGCTGCTTTAAATTTTATTCTTTTATGCATGCTTTGATTTTATAATCTTAATGTTCTTTGTGGTCCAGAAGACATAAGATTATGCCTTTATAATAATATAAAGTGGTATATAAATATAATATGCAAAACTTTGCAACGATTTAAAATGTGCTTGGTGTTATTGTATTTAATATTACAGTAATCCTAAAATAAAAAGTTTAGCAAGTTTAGTTTTATTTGTTTGAGCTTACTAAAACTTAGTGAAAATTAAATGGGTCTTTCTGACTTGAAAACTATATATTTAATATATATATTTTCAAGCATTATGGTATCTTAAAAATATAAACATCATGGTGGCATAAAAAATATTTGCCATCAGTTTTTAAGTAATAGGGGCAGGTTCATCATTGCTTGCTGAGTAAATCTTGGAGTGAGTATTTCCAGTAGTGGTTGAATGATTCAGCAACACTTACATTGTGAGTCACATTAACAAGTTAGCTACTTGTCTCAACATGTCAAAGAGCACACTTGGTTATCTTTTGGTTCAAGCAGTTTGAAGAACAACATTTCAAGGAACAACACTTTAAATAAGGTATCTCGAAAGCCTCACTGAGAGATTTAATAAAGTAGGCATTTCAGGGTTTTCTTTCAAGCTTAGGGTAACCAAAATTAAAAGATAGGATTGGCATGGTAAACATTAAATACATTTCTGGTGTTATCCTTAGGTGATATATATCAAGTGGGCCTCAAAGGCTTCTGAAAATAATGTTTAATGGCTTTAATCTTATGTGAGAGTAGCACTGAATAGATGTTCAAATCCAATCTCAGGTGTGGTAGTTCACTGGATGTCTTTGGGTAGTGATGCTCTCTCTATTTGTATTAACCCATCTATCTCATAAAGTGTGGCAAAAATACCAGGGGAGGAAATTCCATGTATATCAGCTGGCACTGCTGGAGGAGAAGGGAGTATAAATCTGTTAAGTAAACCTGATTTTTATTTTAGGCTTCTAATACTGACTGCCAAAATGACATCTACCTCAGCACAATTTCAACCAACTGAGAATGCCTGCAGATCATCATTTGAACCAGTCAAACAGGTAATATAATTTGATTTTTAAAATTAATACTGTAATCTGGTAGAAGAGGGAAAAATTAGCATTGCATTGCTGAGATTCTATGAAATAGTTGTATTTGCTTTCCTCTGCTAGCTTGATACAGTGAAACCTGTCTGGATTTGGGGTTTGTAAAGCTTTAAATTTGTAACCTGTGGGAGATAGATTTTTTTATATTGATTTATCCAGCGTTATACAACAAGTCTAAGAAAAATTCCATTTGGTGTATCGTAGGTACGACCAAAATTGCCACTGCTGAAAGTTCTGCATGCAGCAGGTGCTAAGGGTGAAACTTTTACATTAAAAGAGGTGAGTTCCTATGCACACAATTCTGCCATGGAAAGTCAGCTCATCTAAACTTGAATTAAGAAAGAAAAGTGTCATAATTTACTTTTTAATGGCACCCAGTACAGACTAAGTCCATATCCATATTCTTATTCCATGTGATGTGGCTGCAAAATTTGAATGCAGGTTATGCTTCTAGAGTGTTTAAAAAGAGAAAGAGAAAGTATAGGTAGTCCTTGACTTATGACTGTTCGTTTAACAATGATTTGAATTATCCATGGGTTGGGAAAGGGTGCTTTACAGTCTATAAAGTATTTCCAACTGCCGCAAATGTTACAGTGCCCCCCCATCATGACATTGTGATCTGGGTGTTTGGTAACGTGTTCACACTTGCTAGGTGTAGGATAGTGATGACCAGTTGATGTTTGAATGTTTTTAAATTATACTTTTTATTTATTGAAAAAGTCATGTCAGCTAAATTGGAAACATCCTATAAAATCATTTCTTTCAAGTTTAAAATGCAAAGTGTGTACAATATTAGAAAAATGACACAGGCTGTGATTTATAGGGTTATTCTGTCAGCTAGGAATTAAATGCTGCAGCTTTTCATTAGGAATGTGTCAGATATTCCCGCAGAGTTGTTTGACTTATTTTAAATACTTATGCATTTAAATAACTTATTTAGCTTCCAATATTTTTGCAAAAAACAAATCCAATGCTTCAAATGAATGAGTTTCCATGTTAAAATGTTAATTTGCCATAGCAGCCTACATTTAGCGCAGTGAGGACCTGTTCTCTATAATAGCTAGAAGCACTGCCAGCTTTCTTCGTTTTGGATTTTCTTCTGATTTTTTTTTTTTTGCTGCTGCTGCTGTCATTAAAGGGATATTAAATTCTATGCATAATATATGCACTAGACTACAGCCTACCTTGTTATGTTTTATTATTTAATTTGCACTTAGAGATTATCACTTTGATTCTCCATGATTTATCTGATAGAACACAAATTTAAAACATTTAAATAAGCTTAAATACATACAAGAAAAATTTTTGAGAGTGAAATAAGAATAAAACAAAAATGTACCTAGAAGGATTTTTGCTCAACTTTGGCTGGTGTACCAAGTTGCAAATCTTAGTCTGCACAAGAAGACATCCTCAGTAGCACCCAGTTAAACTGCAGCAAATGCAATTTATATGGAGATGACTCCAAAACAAGTAAAAATGCTTTCCAGATTAGCTCTGTCTTCACTATCTTCCTGAACGTGCCCTGAGATGGTGCTGGGATGATTTTTTTTAATGTTTTATTGATTTTTTTACAATAACAATCCTTTGTGCCTGGTGTACAGCATGTGTCTTGGTTCATATTTTTTTTAAACCACAATCAATAGTTAATTAACAATCAATAAAAAATTTATATTTCTGTAATTAGTATCGTGATTAATAGTATATTTTTTGATCTTCTCTTCTCCCAATAGTATTCTCTTTCTTCAACCTTAAACAAATATAATTGTTAATATTTTCAATGCATAAATGATTAAATATGAACATTTTTTTCCATGTTTGTATTAACAATAATAGCGTCCATACATGACATTTTTTTCTTTTCAACTGTGTTATTTTTATAAAAATTATCTTATTGGTTCACCATATATCCTATTTTCATAAATCTTATTTAAGCTTAATTTCTCCTTAATATTTGAACAATTCTTATCAGTCATAATTTTCTCAGTATTTAACATCTAAATATCCAAATTTACCATTTAAATACCTCATCCCAATGTTTTCATATTTCATATGTTATAAAAATACTATACTACTTATCTATCTTATGACATCTACCTATAACATCTTTTCTGATAGGTTCACGTTTCACTTATATTTGTAAAAGTTAATTTGTTAAATCACTATATATCCCTTTTTCAAAGTTCTTATTTAAACTTAATTTCCCCTCAATATTTCAATCATTCCTTAATCCTAATTCTCTTCAAACTTAATTTATCTTTGAAATTTAAACTTTTCATTCATATACATCATCCCAATATCTTTACATTTTATATATTATCAAAAGACTCTTATTGTAAGGCCCCTTTATAGCCAAAGTTTTCTGTTCATTTAACCTTATTCAGACAAGTGTTTGCTCATGTAATACTCCATCTGGTAGGGCAGGGGTGTCAAACTCAATTTCATTGAGGACCGCATCAGCATTGCGGTTGCCCTTGGGGGGCCGGGTGGGTGCGGCCAGGGTGGGTGCAGCCTACTAGGTGGGTGTGGATGGAGTGGGCGTGGCCTACTGGGTGGGCATGGCCAGCTCTACATTGTTCGTATCAAGGGTGCCTATGGGGGCCTGGGCAGGAGTGGGACAGATCTGAGGGTCTCTGGCAGAAGGGGGTGGGACCGGGGCAAGCGCCAAGGCATGGTCCATTTCTTCATTCCTCACAAAGGGTGACACCTCCCCAGCATGTACCCAGGGGGCGGGGCTGACACAGCATGGGCTGGTTCCTCGCTGTTTCTAGATGGCCTTGTGGAGCTAAGAGTGAATGTGTTTCAGCATAGATGGCCATCACAAAATTGTATGTTGGCTCCCGGCCAGCCTGGGCCAGGGCCAAGGCAGTGGGGGCCATTCCCTCACTGTTTCCAGAATGGCTTCGCGGGCCACATGAAACCACTTTGCGGGCCGCATCTGGCCCCTGGGCCTTGTGTTTGACATGTCTGTGGTAGGGCGAATCAAATCTCTTGAATCTGTCTCTGGTCTTCTTCTTTTGCCAAATGGCTTTCCAAATTGATATTTTCCAAGAAGTTGCCAAGAAGTTCTTGTATTTTTGTAAGTGTTGTTAGGAGTGGAGAAGACAGAGTATGTAAAATATGTGCTTTTTGTCTCCCAAACAATGATTCTCCTGGCAGTGTGCATTTTGTTAAGTCTTCTTTCTTATCCTCAGGTTTATTTTGATGTTACAGTGAATATAGTATCTTTTCCATTTTTGTTGTTATGTCCAAGTCTTGTAAGTTTTTCCTGTTTGTATTAAATTATAATTCTCTTCATTTGTAGCTTTGCTGATTAAGTCATTTTTTTCTAATTTATGTTCTATTATCTGATTTGTTTGTTCATTCTTTACCATCATTTTCTGAGTAGTTTTTGATTGTGAGTTTAGATTAGAAATGTGCTCATTTATGTTGTGAAGGTTGTGTTTAATCTCCTCGTGGTTTAAATCTATTGTCATAACATTACATAAATTTCCTCTTGGAAAGTATTTGTCTTGTCTTGTCTTGAAATATTGCTTCTGGAGGTCTTTGATATTCCAGGCTGAGTTCTTCAGGAGTAGGTATTAAATGTGGTTTTCTGTCATTTTTTTTTGATAAATATGCCATATCCATGTTATCTCCCCCTTTCAAATAATTCATCATCAATCAGTGCTATAGTCTTTGTAATTAGCCTTGTCAGACCAGCCAAAACTCAAGATCCAAACAGTCCAGTTTTATATAGTTTTTATCTTTATATATAGTTTTTATAATCCATTGTATTTCCAATTGTCAGGGCTTCAGTAAAATCAATGTTTTGTAACAGTACTTTCATTTAGGGGTCAGTTGTCAACCAGTCAAAATTGCAGTTCAGTATATTTAGTTGGGGTGATTTCTATAGCAACACTTTCGGAAGATTGACATTGTGACTGTAGAGCACAGCCACCTTGCTTCAATTCCCATTATTGTCTGATACCCCAAATAGGGACTACGGGGTCCCAGGGTCATAAAAAAGAATTTATTTTTTTTAGAGCATCAGGAGTAATTTTTCCCTATATGCTCTGATAGATCAAGCTGATATAGGTTAAAGCAGGCATGTCCCAAAAGTGCTTTTCAAAAGGCAACTGGATTTACTTGTTTTTTTCTTTGAAAGTGTTTTGCCTCATATCCCAGAAGCAAGCCCAGCTGCGTTTTGAAAAGCACCTCTGGGACAACCATGACCTGGTTAATTGATAATCTTCATAGATGTTAGAGCAGGCAATTTAGTTAGAGTAGGTAACATGATGCCAAACCATAAAGGTCAAAACTAGCAATTAGTACTTTAAATTGCATCAGGAAGGTAATGAAAGTCACTGCAGAGCCCACAATGTATGTGAAATATGATCCCAACAACATGAACTAGTTAGCACACAGGCTGGTGCATTTTGGATTAATTATAGGTTCTGAGCAGTTTTTAAAGGCAGCTCTGTATAAATTGTATTGCAGTAGCTTAACTGGGTGGTATTGAGGATGTCTTCTTGGGCAAACTAAGATTTGCAATTTGGTACACCACCCAAAATTGAGCAAAAGGCCTTCTAGGTACATCTTCATCTGCTATATCAGCAGGACCTGTTTACAAGGAACCTCAGAAGTAGAACCTGACCAGAGATAAGATAGGTATAGATGGAGCGCCTCAATGGATAAACCATGTCTTGTTTGGGTTCAGCTTTAAGTAGGCCTAACTCTAACCCTTTAGTATGTTGATAACATTATATCCTAAAGTAATAGTTAACTTTATCTAGCAATCTCATACAGATATTAAAAAGGAGGAGAAACTGATCCCTGTATTGCATTGTAGAGGCCATTAGGATGGCCTTTCTTCCCCACCACAGTTAACTGAGACAGGAATAGAATTACTGCAAAATAGTGCTTCCAGTCCTTACCCCCATAATTCAGCCCGGTAAGATATTGGGGTGGATAATGATGAAAGCCACTGAGAGGTCTAAAAGGACCACAAGAGGCACACTCCCCCTGCCAGGTCCAGTTAGTGATCATCAGTTAGAGTGACAGGTAGATCTTAATTCCATGCTTGGGCCTAAATGCTGATTGAAAAAGTTCCAGATAACCTGCTTCGTCTTTATATTTGATTGGACCACCAGAAAGGGAAGGTTGGAGACTGGGTGATAGTTATCTAACGCTATCAGAACTGGACATAATTTTAAAGGATTTACCACAGTCTATTTCTAAACAGTTGGCAAAATCCCCTCTGTTAAAGGAATATTGACAGTCTCCCAGATCCATATGGTCACACTATACCTACAGAAACCTGGATAGGCATGAGTCAAACCAGAAGGCAGTGATGGATAATCTAGAGAGCACTCTATCCACTTTCTTGGAGTGTTTAGACATCTCACACATACATATAAACAGGTTTGAAAATTACTGAAACAATGGAATTTAACTCTTACTGAGATGATTTTTATATAAGCATAACTGAAATTTCCAATTGTTTTTTAGTGTATGATCTATCTTGGAGAGTACATTGCGCAGAAGCAACTGTATGACAAAGAACAGCAGCACATGATACACTGTGGAAAAGACCAGCTGGGGGAGCTTTTGGGCTGTCAGAGTTTCTCTATAAAAGAACCAAGGTAGAAAATCTCCGTCATACCCATGGAATAAGATTCTGCAATTTTTATTATCTAAAGCAAAGAGTTGTCTTTTATTTTGAATAGATACAGTGAATTCTGCCCTTGATGTCTAGCATACAAATCAGCTGTTCTGTGCTATTACACAGGACATTGGCGGCAATGGAGCTGGCGGAGTCAATTCTTAAACATTTACTAGCATACCACTGCTTGCAACCAGTTTGGTTTATTAACTTCATCTTGGTTAATAGCATTAATATTTTTGGTGAACTTGATTACTGTAATACTATACTTACTCTCTATTGTTCTTATTTGCATGATTAGTTACATTCCTTTATTACTTTTTTTTCTAAGAGAATAAATGAAGAAGAAAATTTGTGCTTGAATTTCTAGCCATATCTCCTATTGTCTGCATATGTATTGTATGTGAATGCTGCATATTCCAGTCTTTTTTTTTGGCCTGATCATTATATTTGACTATACCAGAATGGAAGCAAATGAGCATGGTAGTATCCATGTGCAGTACTAACAGGCAGATAATGCTCTTGTTTAGCCAATTACTCTCTGCTCCCATGCTGATGCAAACTTAAGGCCATGCTTTTGTCATGGGACTTAATTGCACAAGTATAGTACTTGCATACTTAAGTCCTGTGAACTTAGTCCTAACAATGCAGTAGAGAAGTTTGGGATGGAATTACATAGAAGCAAAAATTTCACAGATTGGGTCTTGAATACTTCCCTATTCCTATATCCATATGAAGCAGAATGAGTAAATTATGTAAATTAATAAATGGGATATTTTATTTCAGTCTATCAGTCTATCTTGCATGTTCTTTCCTGTTAAAAATAATTCAAATGGTAAACTAGAAATTTAGCCTTACCCTCTTAACTTCTGTCTTGATTTTGTATTTGCATGTAGTTTTTCTAAACAATTTCATAACTTGAAACCTGAAACTCTTAGGTTTACTCAAATTGTATCTGTGCATGGAATTGGCTTATTCTTAGAGAGCCCTGGTGCCATGATATTACGGTATTACAGGCTAAATCTACCCACAGTGTGGAGTTCAATCCTGATGGGATTCAAGGTTGACTCAGCATTCCATCTTTCTGAAGTTGATAAAATGAAGACCCACATTGTTGGTGGCAATATGCTGATGTTATAAATCAGAGGTCCCCAACCTTTTGGACAGCAGGGACCGGTTCCATGGAGAGAGGTTTTTCCGCAGACTGGAGGGGGCATGGTTTTGTATGCTGCCTGCATCCCATAGATGGGGCTTTGCTTGTCTGTGCAGGCCAGTTGCTGGCATGCCACGGCCCGGTACCGGTCCATGGACCGGAGGTTGGGGACCCCTGTTATAAACCATTCAGAGACTGCCGTAAGGCACTATGGCAGTGGTTCTCAACCTGTGGGTCGGGATCCCATTTGGAGTCGAACGACCATTTCACGGGGGTCGCCAAACAACGCAGTCCGCCATTTTTTCCCCCTTTTCCTTAGCTGTGCTACTCCCTTTTATTCTATTGGCTTTTGAAAGCCAATAGAATAGACTCTCTTGAATAGAGTCTAATTCTATTGGCTTTCAAAAGCCAATAGGAATTGTCCAGGCTGTCTCTGCCCTGCTGAGCCCGCCAAAAGTCCCATTCTGCAAACGGTGCTGCACCAGTTGAGTAGTCCTCGACTTACGACCGGTTGGGGTCGCAGCATTAAAAAGGTTGAGAACCACTGCACTATGGGGTGATATATAAGTCTAAGTGCTATTGCTATTCTGTGGATAGAAATTTTAGCAAGCCTCCCAGCTTTATATCTGATACTCATCATTCTGTCAAGTAGTTTAACCAAATAGTCCATTTCCGAAAGCTAGAGGTTTTTTTTCTTTAAAAAGTATGTTGGTACAGGTATATTTGGCATGCTTCATTTTATATGTGTATAGTAAGTCCCTCTCTTGACAGAATGAGAATTCATTGTGCGAATTGGGTTTATGATAAACTTTCCTGCAGAGTCTTTGTGCCAGCAATGACTATGGCTATGATTTAATGGTAGGGTAAGAACTGTCATCAGAGAACTGATAACTGTTCTGAGAAAAAAATTTAAACATGATTTTTTAAAAATTGAATTGACTTGAAATTAGGCAATATTTATTCCTATCCCCTCTCTAAATGCTTTGGATATAGATTGCTTTTCTTATAAATCATATGCTGTATCTTGATTTTGGATAGGTCATTAGTATTCTATCTTGCATAATATTTGAATTAAGTATTCTTAATGTGTGGGGGCACAGCAGTTAAGACACAGAGCTTGTGTTACTGGGAGGTTGGCAGTTCGAGACCCAAGTACTGTGTGATAGGATGAGATCCTGTTTCTGCCCCAGCTCCTGCCAACCTAGCAGTTTGAAAGCACACAAATGCAAATAGATAAATACGTACCATTTAAGTGGGAAGAAAAGAGTGTTCCATGTGCCTCAGTTATAGCCATGTTGGCCACATGACCACAGAAGCATCTTTGTACAATGCTGGCTCCCTTAGCTAGGAAAGGGAGATGAGCACCCGGTCCGTAGAGTCAGACATGACTGGAAACCTTTACCTTTTTAAAAATTATTCTTTATGTAATTATGTTCTTTATACAATTACGTTCTCCACTCATTATTCATTATTTTTCCACAGCCTTGTTTATGATATGCTGAGAAGGAATGTGACTCTTACCACTACTACAGGTAGGTTTCTTTCAAATTCATTCAATTTGTAAAATTAATCTTGGTAAGTAAACACATGTGAAAGCATTTGCTTGAGATGAATTGCTCTGAGGATTGGGAATACTGGGATTCTGCTAACAAAAAAGGGTAATATGTTGACATATATTGAAATAAAACTAGATTAGGGTCACCATTATGGTGTCAATGGTTATCAGTTTGCCTGTAGACCCATCCTGTGCTGGTCTCCAGGCTTTCTACCTATACGGCTTTGTCCAAGTCCTTTTGAGATAACAGAAAATGGGTTTGTGAACATGCATAATGTTTTCCTGGTGAAGGAAACAAAAAATATTTTTTTTATTTTATTTTGCTGGTATTATTTTCAAGCTGTTTGTTGAATTATGGTAGCATTGTATTTGTTACACTGTTGGAGAGTTAGTCTGGGTGATCTTTAGGTACACACCTGTGTTGTGATTTCATGAGAACATTAAATGCACTTTTGCATATAAATATACTGTTGGCTTTTTTTAGGCATGTTCCAGACCTGCCCTTGTGGGGAATGGAGCATTCTGGAGAAGTACAGAATATTTCTGTTTCTTCTTTGAACTACATCAATGTGGTTATTCTGAGGGTAGTTATACTGAAGTTAATAGTTTCAATCACAAACAGTTGCTGTTCAGTTCAGACAAAATCAGCGCTGAACTTTGACCAGAACAACACAAACTCTTTCCATTTCAGAAAAGAATCCGATCACAGATAGTCCTGGACTTAAAACTGGTTGAAGTTCCAATGGTTATACCCCCACCCCACTCCTGACTTTGGGCATTTGTCAAACAAACCGCATTTTTGCCCATAAACTGGCATTTTTATTTAGTTTTCAATAAAACCAGCCCATATCATGGGTTCACTTAATGACTATGGTGTTTGCTTAACAACCGCTGCAAAAAAGGTAGTAAAATGGTCACATGACTGATCTGCTTTACAACCGTAAGTTATGTCATGAGCAGGCTCAGTTGCGATAGTAACTCAAGGACTACCTGTACACCTAGAATAACTAAAAGAAATACAGAATGTATGCACAAATCTTGATTTTAGCATATTTCTTAACCTTTGGTTAATTTACCACTAGTCTGATTTGAGTAGATAATCTCTGTTATGAGGGATCCTTGGTGCTCTCTGAGCTTGCTTGTTTACTTGCAGACGTTTCATTACCCTAACTAGGTTACATCATCAGTGTGAACACGTCATCAGTGCTAGGGTAATGAAATGTCTGCAAGTAAAGAAGCAAGCTCAGAGAGCATCAAGGACCCCTCATTTCAACCCTGAGCTAAAAATATTCATAATCTCTGTTAACATCTCCACTGTTGTGGACTGTTGTGGGTTTCAAACAGGAATTCAGGTAGTCCTCGCTTACTAAACACAATTGGGACTGGCAACTCTTTCAGTAAGTGTGGTAGTTGCTAAGCAAAAAAAATCATGTCATTAGACTGGATGTCATTGTGGTCATTAAGCAAGACATATGACTATGACTTGTGATTTCATATCTTCATTCTCCATTGATTCTGTGTGTTGGAAACTGGTTGTGAACCTCAAAATGGTGGCTGTGCAACTTTGTGACAGCCATATATGCAAGAATTGGTTGAAAGCTGTGTTTTTCTCAACTGTTGTAATTTTGAACAGTTACTAAAGAAGGCATTTGGTAAGTGAGGATTACCTGTATTGCTGTCCTTGCTCTGTAGAAATTAGTATAATATTAAATATAGTGGATTGCATGTTTATTTATTTGTGATTATTTGATTGGCTGTTAGAATACAGGAAGTCCTCGAGTTACGAATGTAATGGAGCCTGCCCATTCCATTTGTAGGAGTGAATTGCGTACCTTGAAAGTGATCACTCCCTGCTTTCGCCCACACATTTGCTAATTGAATGCAAAGGAGTGCACATGAGGTATCTCAGGGTGGGGAAGTCCATGGGGGGCCCCAATGATGGAACAGGCCACCTGCTTGAGACCACCCAAGGCCTCCCCCGACCCATGGAGATACCTCATGCTCCCCACAGTTGCTTTCTCCCCCCCATCCTGCCGCCCTGAGTCACTTACCTTGTAAAGATCTAGCAAGCTGTCTTCTCTGCAGCCTCTCTGCTGCACAAGATCATGGTACCAAAAAGCTTCCAGCCTCCGCGCAAAATATTTGCAAGCTGACAGGAGGCTTTGGGCCAGTGAAATCGCTGCCTCAAACCATCCGCTCAGCTTGCAAACACTTTGGGCGCCAAGACTGAAAGCTTTTTGGCGCCGTCATCTCACGTGACTTCAGGCTGCAAGATCACGGTGTCCAGAAACTTCCAGTCTCTGTGCAAAATGTTTGTAAGGTGACGGGAGGCTTTGTTTGACTTCATCTTGCGAGATGATGGTGCCCAGAAGCTTCCAATCTTGGCACCCGAAGTATTTGCAAGCTGAGCAGATGCTTTGGGGAGCAATTTTGCTGACCCAAAGACTTCAGTTAGCTTCTAAACATTTTGCACGGAGACTGAAAGCTTCTGGGCATCATCATCTTGAAACCTGAAATCACATGAGATGACAGCACCTAGAAGCTTCAGTCTCGGCGTGAAAACCATTTCCAAGCTATCTGGACTCTGGGAGTGGCGCAATTAGTGTGCAAATGCTTTTTGCACCGGGAGTGAAATGTTCTGGCGGGGGGGGGGGAGTGATCTCATGTGACTTCAGGTACCCATTTCTGCAAAAGCGGATGGATGCCTGAAGTTGGTGAGGTCACAGCCCCCAGAGCCTTTCACTCTCAGCGTGAAAAGCATTTCCAAGCTGACTCTCTCAAAGGCAAAGAAACCGCAGCAGAGAGGAGACGGATCTTTGCAAGATGAGTCTGGCGTGGCAGCATCAGAATGGGGAAGCAGTTGTGGAAGAGCGGGGGGGGGGGGAAATAGGGCGAATGTTGCAGAGCCTCTGTGGTCATTCGTAAGGGTGAATAACTGCCATGTTGCAACATTCCTAATTTCCGGACTTGTTTGTAAACCCTGGGGGGCGTTTATCATGTAACTTCGAACATGTGCTAAGTGAACATTCATAACTCAGGGATTACCTGTATGTGATTTAACACAAATTTAAAAGCTAAAAATAAAATAAACTTTATTTTGACATCATAGAAGATTGACATACAAAATTCAAAACTGAACTGCATAGCAAAATAAAATGCAGCATTATATCCAAAGATGCTTTCCTAAAGCAGTCAGGACAATTATGCATTAACTTTTAATTAGGAAGCATATATGAGCAATTAGTCAACTGGTTTTGCTTTGTGCATGATACAGTTGCTCTTAGTGCAAGCTTCATATATACATAGTATATATCTGGATGCAGAAGTACGATTTATGTTGCTCTTCACAGCCACTTCAAAAAACACGCCACCAATGAAGATCTCCGATCTATATAAAAAGAAGTAACTATTGTAAATAGCTCTTTATTCTCAGGTTTAAGAACCATCCTAATTCTTGCGGAGGTGCTTCTATCTAGCTCAAACTGCATGATCTATTGCTCGATACCATTTTCACATGATATCGAGCAACATATCGGAACTTTTTCCCCATTGCTGCAATGGGGTGGGTGCGGTTTTCTGGTGACACATCCGGCCCATGAGCCGGCAGTTTGACACCCCTGTTTTAGTGTGATCCTTCTTTGTTTTTGATCTGATCCCAGTGTGGTTTTGAGAATCATTTTGAGATGAATATAATCACAAAGTTAAAACTAGGTGTGCACACCTTTATTCCCCTTCTAGGCGGTAGAGAAGAGAGCCTATTTTTATGTTTCACGAGGGGGTTGCTGGCAGTGGATGACATTAGAGCTGTAAGTGATTCAGGGTATCTCCCTCCTCTCTTTGCCCCAGTTGGTATAGGGGGGAAGAAGCAGATAATTCTCGTGAGATACTTGAATTCGTTGTTTTTACAGAGTTTCCAAATTTAGTTTGAAGGTTGCATTATGTCTGCTGCTGAATGGTTAGGGAATGTAACTATTTAAAAATTTCTGGCTTCTCTTTTCATCATTTTTCACGACACACGTGAAAAGTATGCAACTTCAAAATTGAATTGGCATCTAGCTAGTTCAGGGGTAGGCAGCCTTGGCCAGCTGGCTCAGGAATTCTGAGAGTTGAAGTCCACGAGTCATAAAAGAGCCAAGGTTGTCTACCCCTGAGCTAGTTCTTTGTCATGGTGAGAAAGGCTATCATAGAACCCATAACAATATTGAGAAGCAAATAGACATGATGTTAGTAACATTATTACATCTTTAAAAAATCATAGCTAGAATATCTATGGAGATTCTCAATCATGCAAGTCGTGGTTGTCCCAAAGGTGCTTTTCAAAAGGCAACTGGACTTTTTTTTTTTTTTTACTTGAAAACGTTTATTTTCTTGGATGAGAAGTGAAATGTTTTCAAGGAAAAAACCCCAAAAGTCCAGTTGCCTTTTGAAAAGCTGTCTCAAGGTTATACCAGGTTTATAGCAAGAGCCTTCACTTCAGGATCCCTGCTATTTACATCTAGCATCTATATCTTCATATAGATAAGGATGGCACATTATACTGGCACCAATGAGCACTTCCTAATATTGCAAATAGCAGTGATGGTAGAGCTTCTCATTGGGCTAAAAGTGCACTGACTATGTTCTAATCCAGATCTAGCTGTGCACTGGCTTTTCTTTTAAAAATGGCAATAGGACAAATATGTCCATTATGTGGTTATTCTAGTGCTAGAGCCTAATTAGGTTTTGAGGGATACAGAGTTGGATTTATCAGGTCCATTCTCCATGTGTGAGTGAGCTAAAAATGGAACAATGTTGGGTGAGAAATTTTGAACCATTTCAAGCCCATACTTGAAGAACGTGGTATGCTTGCTTGACAAGGGCTCCCGCTGTATTGTGAGAATGGTTATTACCGGGGAAGGTTTTTTCTTTCTTTACCTGCTGTCTAGATGCTGCACAGACACTTGCTTTCACAAAGGATCAGAACGAGGATAATCCAAGTCAAGATCAGCTGAAGGTAAACCCATTGCTGGGTGGTTTCTTTTGTCGTACAGAGTGCCCCTTCTCTGTACCTGTGCAAAGTGGATTTCTAGAACTTCTGACTTGCTTGCCGGTGAGTTTTTGCCTTCCTCAGAAGTTCTTGGGACTCCACTGAGCAGGGACAGAGTTCTCATTCTCTGTTCTCTACCTACAGAGTTCCATTCTCTGAACATGTTCTCTGGGATGTAGCATTTCTTTTCCTTAGTCATGCCAGCTTTCACTGTTATATTCCTGGGTGGGAGTTTTCTTTTATCCAGGACTGATGTATTACTTCATGAAAACTCTTAATACCTGAAAACCTTAGAAGAGTCAAGATGGTTTCTCATGCTATTGTTGAATTAGTATTGTCCATTTCAAGAGAAGGCTACCTAATTTGATACAGAGATAATCGGCTTGATAGCATTTCATTGCAGCTTTTTGGAAACATCCTATTTTAGCTGTATTGTAATGTGTTCTGTGTATGTTTGTGTGCGTGTGCATATGCACACACAAGTTCAGGGGTAGGCAACCTGGCATCTTTCAAAAGTTTTGGGCTACAACTCCCATGAGAGTCGTAGTGGAAGACTTATAAAACTGTCAGATTGCATATCTGCATCTATTTGATTTTTAACAAATGTCTTGATCAGTTAATAAATGTAATTTTTGTTTAGTCAATTAAGTCTTATTTTTACTATAACTTTGGTGGTATTCCAACTGTATGTGATTGTTGCTATTAAGCTGGTGACTAAGAAAGGAAGTGTTACATCCCTGTTCTTCTGTCATAGATCTTAGCTAATAGTTATTTTTCCTTTTTCCTTTAAGCAGAATAATACAGAGAGTAGTTACAGCACTGAACAGGAAGACCATGAAGGTGATGTATCATCATTAACAGCCTTAAAGCGTACATGCAAGGAGAAAGAAGGTAAATATGGTCTCCCAATTAGACATGATTACATTGCTTTGACTATTGGATACATTAGTTATATAGTACATTTTGTAGAATATATACATACTGATACTATGTTGTTTTTGTTGAAAGTGAGTCCTATGTGGTTTTTCTTTTTACTATTATTTCTTCTTAATACAGTTAGATATTCCGAAGTATTTTTAAGAAAACATTTTTATTTATCTCTCATGTGAATATACAAATTAGGTATTGTTCAAGTAGTCAGTTTAGTTTGTGAAAATTACACATATAAATAAAATGTCAAAGGGGAATGTTGTTTTCAAAGCTATTCCTTGTAGCTTTTAGAATAGTCTAACATTGCTATAAAGATAGTGATAGCTTCTTAAAATAGCTCCCTTTTTCATATTTACTATTGATTTCTTTCAACAACTCTTATTTGTAATTTTTCAAGTTAGTCTTAAACTCTATCATTAAATATTTTACAATATACAAATAGAGGCGAACACAAAAGTTTTTGTTTGTAATGTGTGGTGAGGGAATAGAAATATTTACAGGTTGTCCTTCATTTACAACCATTTGTTTAATGATGGTTCTAAGTTACAAGGCCTCAGAAAAAGTGATTGATGACCTTACAATTACAACCATCATATCAGCTCTTGATCAAGTGATCACACTTCAGATACTTGTGGATAGACTTGCATTTATGACTGGTTGGAGCATCCTCTGGTCACATGATCACCATGTGCAACTTTCCCAGACAGGTTCTGACAAGAAATGTCAATTGGAAAAGCTGGGTTAGTTTAGTGCTAAAAACAGTCATGAAATCGCATCCAATGATGTGATGACTTGCTTTACAACCACACCAACTTAAGACAAAAATTTTGGCCCCCAAATTATGAGGACTACTTGTAATTCACACAGATATAGATGTTAGAGTAAGTTGTATGCCTTTGGGCAGGTTTGCCAGTTTATTTCACAAACATTTTCACTTTTGCAGATGGAGTAGTAATAGATAATATTTCAAAAGAACAAACCGCCTTGGATTTGTTGGTTGAAGAATGGGATGTAGCTGGCCTTCCATGGTGGTTTTTAGGCAATCTGAGAAACAATTACAAGTCCAGAAGTAATGATTCAACAGATATATATACAAATAAGGTAAATATTAGCAAACAATATGATATGTATGCATAAATCTGTATATCCTAGCCTAATTTCATTAAATTAATTAAATTTATTCATTAAATTAGTTCATTAATTAAATTCATTGTTTAAATTCATTAAATTAAAAGGATTTTTAGCTCATTCTCATATAGTCTTTGACATTTTTGTTTGCTTTGTTGAAGCTGAAAAATTATATGCTTAATGATCATGGAAGCTTGCCTCAGACTAAACAAATACCAGCATATCATAGATAACCTCAACGAGCAACTGAATAAACCATGACTACAGAACACAGAAAAATGCTGACAACCACCATCAAAACATATTTCTGAGACAAACTGAAAAAAAGGAAAAGAAAACTCTAAAGTCTAAACCATACTACTCAAGCTAAACCCCAGAAGCAAAGAAGTACTTAAAAACGAATGGGTAGTCAACATGTCCACCCACCACAGAACACAGTATCCATCAGAATTCTTTGCAGAAGCAGCATTTTAGGTCACAGAGACCCAAGAAAACGTAAGGCAGACCATCATACCACAGTTCAGAAGAACAGAGAATCATAAATAGCTTAAAGCATTGGACAGAGCAGCTCTCAAAACCTAAAGAAGAACCGAACCATCCTCCTCCTCCTCCTAGCAGACAAAGACTGAGCCATAGTTATTGTGGACAGATCATAATATATACAACACAAAAAACCTACATCCCAGTAAATACCAACCCAATATAGAAACCAGACCACCTGAGCAGGAGAGCTCTTTTTTTTTTTTTTTGAAATATTTTATTAGTTTTTTTAATTTTTTTTAAAAAAGTACTCAGGACACACCGTGGTGTTTGGGTAATCAGACATTCCAAAGTAAAAACATAAATAAACAACTCAACTCAATACATTCACTGTCTCCTCTCTATTTCCCTCAAATAACATAATATGTTTAAAATATTCCATTTCTAAATTAAATTTCTATTACTACTAAACCTGTTTTAAAACTTTTATCAGTTTACAATTACCAAAATCAAATTTCACTTTAACTCAACAAGTTATCAATTCAGGTATCCCTTCCAGATATATTCTAGTTCTTAATTTCTCTCATCCCTCCTTTTATCACCAATCTCATTTATTTTTTCTTCCATTACACAATAGCTATCTCAATTAAAAAATAATGTTAATTCACTTCAATTCATT